AAGGGGTACAGCACTGTATTCCGGCATAAGTGTTTAGAAAAGGGCGGGGGGGGGGGGGGGGCTACTCTTATGTTTTGCGTGCTTTAGCGGTTAGACCATTGACCACGCGTCCTCGAGAGGACGGAGCATTGTTCCCACAGGACCGATCACCGATGGCCAATCGTTCCTTCCTACGTTGCCAAAGGTGGCTCAAAAATGTCGTCCCTAGTCTGTCTATCCTACCGATATCACTTCCCGCCTTTCCAACTCACTTCCTATGCCCCAGTACGGCTAACGTCTTCTCCTGGCTATCCCATGCCTCAAGCATGTCCCTGTACTTTTCTCCTACTTTTCCCAGCTCAGTCATGTACACTTCCCTCTTGTACCACCGACATTCCGCTACTACATGAACACGGTCTTCGCACTCGAAGCCGCAATCACAATTGCACTTGGCGGCTACAGGGGGGGGGCGGGGGGGGGCAGGTTCGGTTTAACCCTTACGTGACTACTGGGCGATTCAGCTCCGTTCTCAGCTCCGATCACTTTGCGGGCCGAAAGATCGCCGTTGTGCCTCGGCTAAGAGCAAAAAACATACATAGAGACCAGCAGGGAGACACAGGCCGCCCACCCCAAAAGCACGCTTATCAGCAATGCGCACAGGACTCACATAGTACAACACTATTCACCCATGCCTAATCTCTCTGACGTGGGGCAGATATCCTTTCCAGATCCAATCTACTGCCTACCGGTACTGCTGTAAGATCCAAACGCAAAATACCACCGGAGGGTACATACAGCACCCTGAACATGTGATCAACCCGGTGCCGCATCCGCGGGGGAGAGCAGAGAAAGCGCACACCGGAGCCAATGCTAATGTACTGCCTCGGTGCTTGATGTTGTTGTGATTGCGGTGCGTGTGGTTCCCAGTATTGGGAGTGAAGGGTGATTCGTCTGCTGTGTGCAAAATTTCACTCAAAGGCAAGGATTTTTGGGACCACAGCTCCGATCACAGCTCTCTATTTGTTACACAGAATAGTAGAATTTATCACGATTTTTATGCATTTTGTGCGATAGTGGATGATGGTCTCGATTCTCTGATGAGCGGGCCGTTTTTTTGTCGATCTGGCGCTTCTGTGAGGCGGTTTTCCGTCAGCGTCTTCGCATCTAGCGCCGCTAGCATATGCGCTTGCCGTATGCTCTGTCCAAGGATGAGGTGTAGAAGATGTGCCAACAGGTATTGCTTGCACAGGTACATCCTCTGTGTGGACGGTTGCTGTCGGAGACAGGCATGCACACCTGCTCAGAAACTACTGCTGTTGTACAGTCTATTTCGCTCCGCATAGCTGCTACTGCTGTACAGCAGTAGTACTCCGGGTGGGTGGGTGGGTGGGTGGTGTCTCAACCAGAGGTTCCTGTTTTCTTTCTGTTTTCCTGTCGAAGCAGGGTGCCAAATTGAAAAGTGAGAGCTGATCTCGTCCTCTCATAATATTGGCTCTTTATTGCGTGACACATCTGGAAACGATTTCATCTTTTTCCATTTTGGTTCTTGACAAAACACCAGTATTTTCGAGTCAATTCTTCTCCTCAGATAGTATGGGATCAAACACTACTGTACTCCTGTTCGTCACCCTTACATATACCGTGTCCCCATCCCTGTGAGCCCCACACATGGACCCACTGCTGCACAATCCTTGCCGCCGTGATTATGGGTGTACACGCTGCTTGGAAGATCTTTGACCGAGGAAAGCCCAATTGTGGGAAAAAAAAAAAAAATAGCCCAGTCACGTAAGGGTTAAGAGAATCTGGGTGTGTGTAGCTATTTTGACCTCTCTTAAACCGGCAATTCTCTTAAAGTGAGCTCTCTTTAACCGTAGCCCCCACTGTATTAGATAGCTGGCTGAGTGGTCTAATGGTTGATTGGTCTAATGGTTTAGCCCTTTGTACTACTGTAATACAAAGAGATATGTCGACGGGCTCTTGGCCTCCCAGCAGCGACAGCAGTAACGGCACGCGGTCAGTCAGCTACCTGACTACATGTAGATTTAGAATTCACCATCTAGTATAGGACTCCATTCTTCTGTTGTGGGTCGATATCTCGCAGTTCGGGGCGCAAGCCACGCACCGCGCGGAAATGTGCCACTGAGACCGAGATCTACTGCTGTAGACTAAAGCCGTGTAGTATGCTTACAAAGCTTATTGGTATTGTTTGGTCCGGCAGCAGCAATACCGTAATAGTCGGAAAGTTGGCACCGGGTGCGATCGTTTAAAAAAAAAAAAATGCTCTGGGTTTTTTTCGCACCCCGGTGCCATCTCTCCGACCCCGGTGCGGAAATGCAATTGAATCATTTCGTTTAGAATTTTCAAGGCACCCCGGTGCGATCTCCCCGACCGGTGCGATCCCCGATGAAATACACACAGGCACAGGTGTTGTATGCACGCACCCCGCTGCCATCACCAGCGTAGGTACCCACGCACGCACACGGTCTTCTGCACACATACGCATATCTGCGCCGGAAACAAGGCAGCGAAATACACATACGTACCAGAGACGTACCCCGAAAAAAGCTGCGAAATAGCGCAAACAAAAAAAAATAGACAATGCCAGTCAGTGCGAGCGCACACACAGCCATTGATTGTGCCATGTCAGAGGGTGCAGGTACTGCTTCCTCACAGACCAGTGGCAGTACTGTTGGTGCTGGTGCTGGTGCTGCTGATGCTGCTGCAGCAGCTCCTTCAGCTTCGCAGCAGTACAATAGTTTCGGGTTGTGTAAGGTTGGGTAGGGTGCGGCATGTACGTTGTGTGTTTGGTTGAGGGTACGGTTGGCAACTTCCATACCAATTAAAAAATAAAAACAACTGGCATCCCGCGTGAACCGCGACCATCCAATCGTACGTAAGGGAGTGGCGCTCCGCTGACACCGTCCCCACGTGTAAACGGTACACACATGTACCTCATTCCGGCAGCTGAAAAGGGGCTCAATCTTGGATTTGGGACTCGGAGAAATCGCACCGGGTGTGATCTCACCGACCCCGGTGCGTAAATCGAATTAACCCTGACGTGACTACTGGCCGATTCAGCTCCGTTTTCAGCTCCGATCACTTTGCGGGCCGAAAGATAGCCGTTGTGCCTCGGCTAAGAGCAAAAAACATACATAGAGACCAGCAGGGAGACACAGGCCGCCCATCCCAAAAGCACGCTTATCAGCAATGCGCACAGGACTCACATAGTACAACACTATTCACCCATGCCTAATCTCTCTGACGTGGGGCAGATATCCTTTCCAGATCCAATCTACTGCCTACCGGTACTGCTGTAAGATCCAAACGCAAAATACCACCGGAGGGTACATACAGCACCCTGAACATGTGATCAACCTGGCGCCGCATCCGCGGGGGAGAGCAGAGAAAGCGCACACCGGAGCCAATGCTAACGTACTGCCTCGGTGCTTGATGTTGTTGTGATTGCGATGCGTGTGGTTCCCAGTATTGGGAGTGAAGGGTAGTTCGTCTGCTGTGTGCAAAATTTCAAAATTTCGCTCAAAAGGCAAAGGTTTTCGGGACTACAGCTCCGATCACAGCTCTCTATTTGTAGTACCACACACACAGAATAGTAGAATATACATATATCACGATTTTTATGCATTTTGTGCGATAGTGGATGATGGTCTCGATTTTCTGATGAGTGGGCCGTTTTTTCGTCGATCTGGCGCTTCTGTGAGGCGGTTTTCCGTCAGCGTCTTCGCATCTACTACTGTAGCGCCGCTAGCATATGCGCTTGCCGTATACTCTGTCCAAGGATGAGGTGGAGAAGATGTGCCAACAGGTATTGCTTGCACAGGTACATCCTCTGAGCGGACGGTTGCTGTTGGAGACGGTATGCACGCCTTCTCAGGAACTACTGCTGCTGCTGTACAGTCTATTTCTCTCCGCATAGCTGCTACTGCTGTACAGCAGTAGTACTACTGACTCCTGTTCGTCACCCTTACACATACCGCGTCCCCACATCCCTGTGAGCCCCACACATGGACCCACTGCTGCACCATCCTTGCCGCCGTGATTTTGGGTGTAACACGCATGCTTGGAAGATCTTGACCTTAGAGAGGCAGTTGTGGGGAAAAAAAATAAAATAACCCAGTCACGTAAGGGTTAAATGTTTTTTTTTTTTTCTTAATATGACACAACGAATCCATCTCTATCATAGAGTTTGAGGCAGATTAGCAATGAATTTATTATAGAGCGTCAGAAATGTTTTTGTATCGGGTTTTTTATCGCACCCCGGTGCCATATCTCCGACCGGTGCCATCTCTCCGGCCGGTGCCAACTCTCCGACTATTCCGCCACTGCTGTACGCCCTGCGGTTGTCGTACACAGCAGCGCCATTCACCTTCAAAGCTGCCGGAACGCCTAGGCTGTCCTCAAGCCCCTTAATGCAAGCGTCCAGCTTTGATCTTGCTGACATGATACGTGATATGCAACTCTCCACGGAGGCTGATGTGTGTAGTGTGTACGCGCTGCCAGCTTCGAGGCGAGCGGTTCGCGGGGTCTCCGTAGAGGCAGAGTTCGTAAAGGGAAATGACGCGGGAGAGGGATTGTTATGGGTTTTTTTCTTTTTTTTTTCTTTTAATATGACACTTTCTTTCTGCGAGAGGCGATTATTCTTTCTTCATTTGTTTTCTCAACGTCGGGATGTTTTGGGCTTGACTGCAGACCGCCTGTGGTTCGCACAACACATACACACATAAACCCATGATGAACGTAAAATCCCGAAACATGTTGCGTATACGGCGGTACACCCGCCGTACGGCACACCCGTTCATAGCTGACGGTAGCATAGCCGGGCGGACAAGGATACGGCAGCTACTACATATGTTGGTGTGCAGTTGAGAAAAGAAGACTCAGGTATGGTGCTCCGAGTAGCACGTTGTAGGTGACCAATAAGAACATCTCGTTGACAGCAGTACAGCAGTGGCAGGCCTGTGGGCGCACCGAAGAAAAAAAGCCGAAGGTAGCGAGGGAGAGAGCGTACAGAAGAGAGTCCGGGACAGAGACGAAGATTTTGGCGTTGGGTCCCTTGCACCCGGCACGCTTACCTCTTGCGGGAAGGTCCTGCGGGTGTTGCTTCATCCTTGCCGTCCTTGAATGGTTGGGTTGTTTACGGAGTGCGGTAGACCCATGGGTGCAAGTAGACGCCAGAAAATATTGTACATGTATATCGTGATGCACCGCACACCTCACCGCAAGTAAAAAAAACAGAAGGGAGCAAACTTTCACACACGGCTGAGCACACACACACACCACCCAGCTCTGCCGTCCGCCAGGCCAGCTATCTGTCACTGCCATTCTCCCCTCGAGACCAGCTTCTTCATGCCTCCTTGTGAAACCTCTGGAAATCCAACGGCACATACGGGCTTCGACCGCATATCTGAATTTTGCGCCGAAGATCGAGCCTCATCCCCTGCTATATACTTTGCACGTCGTGTCCACGATAATCCTCTTGCACGTTTACGCACCGCAAGTACCACCCAGGTACCACCCTCCTTGTTCGGCACCGTCCGCACCTAGCGATTTGTTGAATTCGTTGAACGTGATTCGCTACTAAAATGTATCTGAATTGGCCGGGCTGCTGGATTTTCAGAGTTTTCCCGCGAATTTTCGAACCGCAGCTCACAAGGTGTAGTCAGCACAGCCTCTGCCCTGCAGCAAACAGATAGACCTGAGCGTGCAACCGCGCATGCATGTCGCTGCTCGATGACGTCTTCTATGTACTGGTCCAGAATTGAAGCTTGGCCTCTTGTGCCAATAAGCAAACCTAAACCTGATCAAGCACCCGCGGTTTCGCCTGGTCTGTCTTGAATTCAGAGGACGCATCACGCCTGCGCGCTCGTCAGAAACAAACGCATTTTGGGCGAGAGGATCAACATCTTGAACATCATAAATTGTCTCAGCGATGTGGGCTGCATTTCCTGATGTCACTATTATAACACTATTGAATGAACGGCGTGTCTAAATCCCCGGGGGGGGATAAGTGTCTAAATACCCCCCCGGCTGTATCTCCGCCCACAAGGCACCAATCGAAGCAGGACATGCACGGCTGCGTTGCTGTGTTGTGGGGCTATCGCGAGATCCATCGTACAAGCCGAAACGGTTCAGGGTTGGTGCAGCCATGGCTCATGGGCAAAATATATCTGTTGCTCCAACCTGCCCTCCGCGGGGGGATTAGTGTCTAAATACCCCCCCAGTTGTATCTCCGCCCACAAGGCACCAATCTAGGCAGGACATGCACGACTGTGTTGCTGTGATGTTGGGCTATCGCGAGATCCATCGTACAGCCGAAACGGTGCAGGGTTGGTGCAGCCATGGCTCATGGTTAAAACAAATCTGTTGCCCCAACCTGCCCCCCGGGGGGGGATTTTAGTGTCTAAACAACCCCCCGGCTCTATCTCCGCCCACAAGGCACCAATCGAGGCAGGACATGCACGACTGTGTTGCTCTGTTGTGGTCCTATCGCGAGACCCACCGTACAGCCGAAACGGTGCAGGTTTCGTGCAGCCGTGGCTGATGGGCAAAATATATCTGTTACCGCTGCTCCACTGGTGGGGAACATTGCCTTGAATACCCCACCAGCTGCATGTTGCCCTACAAGGCTCCAATCGACTGACAAACACCGGTAGAAGTGCGTGGAACATGCACGCACAGCACACGGCAGCGGGCAGCAGTTGAGGCGAACAGCACATCAAGTATTCCTTTCCACAGCATTACACATATCCAGTGGGAGCCGAACACTGCTGCCTTCTCACTGGTGGGGCACAATACCCTTACTTACTCTCCAGCAAAAAAAAATATGTGCTCATACAAGACTTCAGTCGACACAGGACATGCTCAACTGTGTTGCTTCGCTGTAGGGCTACCGTATGACCCATCGTTAAGCCCGAAGGTTTCCGTTCAGGTAGTCCACAGCCGGTGGGGCAAACTACGGATGTGCCCCTGCGGAGGGGGAGGGGGGGAATCTGTCTAATACCCCACCCATGGGACCTCGCACGTCTGTACAAGGCCCCGATGGCCACACAAGAACCGTAGTAGAAGTGTAAAAGATGATGCACGCACAACACACAGCACACAGCAGCATTGCACCACTGCTGTGATCGCTATGTGTATACGTTGTACAGTGCACATCAGGGGTTGTTGATCCATTCATTCGTTTGGGCTCGCTCGCCAAAAAAACGAAAAACAACGCAAACAATCGCAAACAACAGCAAACGACAACGAAACGGAAAGTAAACTTTTTGTAGGTGATGAACGTATTCGCCACCACGAACGTGTAGCCTCCCGTTCGTCCCTGCGACGTGCAAGTCAAACTTAGGCACACGCCGTTTTTCATACCGGCCCTTTCAAAAAAATCTGTCGGAACACAGACGCTTGAACATATCCCCACGCAACAGCGGGCCTGTTGGGCAGAGATACAGCCAGGGGTACAGTATTCAGAAGACTAATCCCCCCCCTGGGGCGGTTGGGGCAACAGATATATTTTGCCCATGAGCCATGGCTGCACCAACCGTGAACCGTTTCGGCTGTACGACGGATCTCGCGATAGCCCCAAAATACAACGACACCGTCGTGCATGTCCTGCCTCGATTGGTGTCTTGTGGGCAAAGATACAGCCGGGAGGGTATTTAGATACTAATCCCCCCCCGGGGGGCAGGTTGGGGCAACAGATATATTGTACCCACGAGCCATGGCTGCACCAACCCTGAACCGTTTCGGCTGTACGATGGATCTCGCGAAAGCCCCACAACACAGCAACACAGTCGTGCATGTCCTGCCTCGATTGGTGCCTTGTGGGCAGAGATACAGCCGTGGGGTGTTTAGACACTAATCCCCCCCCGGGGGGCCAGGTTGGGGCAACAGACATATTTTACCCATTGAGCCATGGCTGCACCAACCCTGAACCGTTTCGGCTGTACGATGGGTCTTGCGATAGCCCCACCACACAGCAACACAGTCGTGCATGTCCTGGCTCGATTGGTGCCTTGTGGGCGGAGATACAGACGGGGGGGTGTTTAGACACCAATCCCCCCCCGGGGGGCAGGTTGGGGCAACAGATGTATTTTGCCCATCAACCATGGCTGCACCAACCCTGCACCGTTTCGGCAGTACGATGGATCGCGTGGTAGTCCTACATCACAGCAACGCAGCCGTGCATGTCCTGGCTCGATTGGTGCCTTGTGGGCAGAGATACAGCCGAGGGGGTGTTCAGACACTAATCCCCCCCCGGGGGGGATTTACGAGAATCCCCCCCCCCGAGGGGGGATTTAGACACGCCGTTGAACGAATTGGTTATTTTTTCTTCTCCTCACCTCTTATTTGCATACCAGAGGGAATGTTCCCTGCGATACCAGATCGTGGGCGACGACTAGGTACACACAGCGAGCGACCTTTGAAAAAACAACTCCGGTGAGGTTAGAGACGCTCACGCCCCTTCAAGAATATCGTCGTCGTCCATGCCATTAGAGCAGAATAGCCGTTGGTCACATCTGAGTCGGGGGCGTGCCGTCCGTTGTTTCACAAGCAGTCCCATGCTGGGTTCAAAAGGGTACAGAATCCACAGAATCCATGGCACACTAACAGTACGAATAGTAACCGAACGCCCGTCATTTCGCCTGACCGTGTAATTCGTAGCCGCCCCCTTTCAAGGGTAGCCAAGCCGGACATTTCTTTCTTTCTTGGCTCACCTCTTGACGTCTGGGCTCGAGCATACCTTTCGCACACCACCACCATCAGACTTCGCTGTGCGCGCGCTGAAGGCATGAGCCTCATCTCCATTCGAATTCTTTGCCATGATGATCAACGGGGAAGCCGGTATCCTGTGTTTCCTCCGCCCACCCAAGGTGAATTCATGGCCGCTCGAAGACGCGGCGGCGGTGGCGCCGCGGGCTCGTTTTTTTTGGCAGGACTGTTGGTGTGGACGACGGTGTCGGCAGATGACCTGCCCACGGATGAGTTCACCCCCAGAAGCTACGACGGAGTCGGGAACAACGAGGCGAATCCGACCTGGGGGGCGGTTGGGTCAATCGAGGTTTGTTGCATCAGGGTACTCGACACCGGCATCGTGCCATCGAATGAACGACGACAGCAATTACCATACCAGCGTGCCATGCTTAACTATTCCCCATATGCCTCTTCTGTTGGCTGTCAGCCTTCCTTTGTGGCTGCGTTGCAGAGTGTGGAAAGTTTGGCATCCTCAACGTAGTATCTGTGAACTCGTGTCCCTTTTTTCGTAACATAGTGTGAAAAGAGGGAATCGTCCTCGACAGACGTTGGGGAGTTTCTACCTTCCTGTATGAAGGTGGTCTCCACATTACCCCCCCCTTTTTTCGAGACTTTTTCTTGTTTTCCAGGCAAGAGAAGTCTTCTTGGGGTAACCGGAACCCGACCGGCTGGCGGCGGGGCGATTCACATTCCTCACAATCCAGGACTGTGGGTATATCTCGAATGGGTAGTCTTTCTGTGTGTGTTTATATTATTCCTTAATCCTCTGTACGTGTTTTACGCATTCGCTACGTCCGCCACGCTTCAGAAGTTCCGAGTTCGATAGCCAGTGCGTCCTCCCTTGGCCCACCCACCATTTTTCTTTTTCCGTTTTCCGGAAGAAAATTTGGTGACCAGCGGGTTTTGAACCCGTGTCTTTTCTCACGTCGACGCCATTGTGAAAAGAGGGAATCATCCTCGACAGACGTTGGGGAGTTTCTACCTTTATGAAGGTGGTCTCCACAATAGTCGGAGTTGATTGCGTCCTTCTTAGCTCTTGATTTTCATTCCGTCGGCAGTATTGTCGAGTCCGTTATTCTCATATTTGTGGGATCATACCGTGGGATCATTTCCGGCTGTCGGTGAAACCACCCCTCCCTCCCGCCCTGGAGCTTTGGTTTGACATGAGATGAGCAAAGTTTTACGTTAGACGATATTCATATGCCATAAGCATCTCGGCCCCACTGTGAAAATATTTGTGGTGATTCTGAAGCGACCATCATTACGTACAAAAACGCTTGTGTTGAGCGTCAATTTCTCGGACCTGCTCCTTCGTTTCAACTTACTCCCTCGTTTCCCTTGTCTCTCTATCCCTCTCCATAGTACCGTACCTCCTGGAGGCTGGCTCTGGTGGCTGTTATTGTCCCAACCATCCCACCGTGCCGGCCCTAAAATGATAACTTTTGTGCTGCTGTTGTTGGCGCCGGCAGTTGCGCTCGGTGGCCCAAGCCGATTACGCCGACGAGCTATTCACTCCTCCGGGGGATCTGACGAGACCGACCGCTAGGTGACTTGCTCGTCGAGCCCCGATTCCACGAGCTTCTGCTTGGGCTAAGAACGGGGACATCCACTCAAACTTCCTCTATACAGCAGTCACACATGCTGTTCTTGAAATGTCAGAGGTCGCCAATTCTCAAGATATGCCAGGGAACCTTGGAACGATCAAAAATAGTTTGCTCATCTTGTTTCTCCAACGAGTTGTCTGACTCTGTGGCGACAATCCCAAAACGTTTAGTTGAGGCCTTTTTAGGTCTTGCTGATCATCGCGCCCACCCACGATGTTATTTCTCGTTTTCGCTGAACTTGCGCATTCTCTAGGGAGGTGATGACCGACGTATTTCTAGCGTCGCCACCAGCTGTGTCCACGGAGAGCGCCCTCTTCGTCGCGTGGGGGCAGCTGCTGACCTACGATCTGTCTCTGACCGTCGACAACTCCTCCGAACCCTTCGATATCGCCTGCAACGACGGTGAGAGGGATAGGAGGAGTATTTCCTGTCATCGTCTAGGGGGCGGACGGAGGGCGTAAGTCATGATCGAGTATGTATCCCGTAGTCGACCGTTGATCTTGATCCGTATAATGCGAGGCGCCGGGCTCCCGTCGACCAGTACCTGGCACGCAGAGCCGCGACATGCTTCAGCAAGTCGTGCGAAGCTTCGACCTGTATCCCACCATAAAAAGCATGTGACGCAAGACCCCGTTCCTTGCACGTGCTCTCCTGCGCGAGAACGGGAGCTTGGTATCACTTGGTTTCCATTTGTTTTCCAACATGACCTCTTCCAGACTCGGCCCTGGGAATGTCCTGCTCCTGTCTCGCGGGCGCCGGACCACACGTCCATTACAGTTCCCTCATGGGGGGATTGCTGACGGCTGCGTCTGAAAAGAGTACCTTAACTTGGTCGAAAGTCTTGGTCGGAAACGGCGGCAACGGCTGGTACCATCCTGTTGTGCAACCCGTGCGCCTATACGAACTTGCCCGCGAAAACGACACAACTGCGCATGCACACCTCCTCCATCCTTCACACTTGCACTATCATTGTACTCTTACGTATACAATTCTTCGAAGAAGGATATACCATTATAGTTGTTTTCCCCTTATGCACCGCATTTTCAGGCAACGGGGCGGAGGGAATAGACATCTGGTGCCCTCTAGGGGCTAGCTCGGATCCCATCTCCTTCTTCAGGTCGGATGCGGGTCTGTCAGACGACGATGGCGCCAACAGTGTGGAGACCAGGAGCCCCGTGAACTACGCGACGGCTTTCATGGACCTGGACTTCGTGTACGGCCGGAGCGAGGAAGACGCGGCGACCCTGAGGTCTTCGGACGGGAACGGTTTCATGGCCGTCACAGAGAAGGGCTTGCCGTACCTAAACGACGACGGGACTTGGCTGGTATGTCTCGTTCGCGTGCACTCACCCTCCTTCAAAAGTGCCTCTTCTCTTGGTAGAGACTGAATGCAAGTATAATTCGGTGAATATCACGTTGAAGTCAGATCGGCATTCATCATTTTGTGGTCCACAGTACGACCCATATTGCGTACGATTTCGTGGTTACTATGCTCCCGAGGTTGTAGAAGGTTGGGTTGAGATGGGATGTGACCTGCTTAAGGGGGTGTCTTCGGGTGAACCGAGTGCTCTTGCTGAGTGCCAACGGAAGTATGCTTGAACTGAGCATAAGGCTAGCGTCAATACACCATTTTCGATTATATGTGCTCCCGAAACAAATCGTTGTGTGTGCTCCGGTGTTCTGCCGTGTACCACACGCGTTTGTGTTCACCTCCAGGGGAATCATTCTCAGGTCCGAGGCTGTGCAAGAATTGTTTGCATGGTTGTCGAAATGCTGGAGGAACTAGATACGTGTCTCATGCGTGGTAGGCGCAAGTGGAACACATATGATGGTAGTCTCGTGTGTACATGCATATTAGTCACGGGTATCTTTATGAGCCCAAGACCTATACAGGGCTGGCCGAAGAAAGCAAGTGTGGCTGAGGAGGGTTAGAAGGACAGACTCTCGCTTGTGTATGAACGCCTTTTGCCTCGCCGTTCCCTTGACTTCTGCGATATTTTCTTCTTTTAACGAAGCGCTACTGTAGGACATTCAGCATCAATGTTTTGAGCACCCTTCGTTCAACCCACGGCCACTCATCCCTGTGCCTCTCTCAACCTCTCCTTCGGACCTCTCCCTCTTTCTCTCTTTCTCCCCCGTTCGGTCTCCCTCGTTCACCCCTTGCCTCGGCATTTGCCCCGCGCGTCCTGCTGGTAACGCCGATGTTGTTGTGGTTCTCGTGCTCAAAACACGGAAAACTCATCTCACCGTTACAAACACCAGATCGCCGACCAGCGAACGGCCCGCTTTCCGGTAACCTTTGCCCTGCACGTCGTGCTGCTCCGGGAACACAACCGCTGCTGCGTCGAGATCGCACCGGGCGAGGGTGCGGAGACTGATGAGGTCCGGCGGCGAAGTTTGCACTGTCCAAAGGATTGAAACGAAACCATCATTTTGGGTTGGGTCTTTCCTCACGGCGGACTGTGCACCGAACGACAAAGACAAGCCCAAGTAGTAGTAGACATACCCAGGCAACAACACGAATTTGGCAGCGTGCGAAACTACTGGCCTGGCGATTTTCACAACGTACAGTTTGCATGAGCGAAAACTCTGAAGGCTGACACTCTTAGTTGATGGGCTCGAGACGACTCTTACCGGGCTAACGCTGAACGCGTTGGGCTCCGACCTATGTTTACGACAGCTTCGTGATATCGCTGGGTAGATCATACTCGCGTGGTGAGATTTCACGACAAGCCCAGCATGAAAAAACGGAAAACACTGTGTCATTCGGTGTACCCAGTATCATACGGTGAAGAGTGCTACGCCCGAGCGGAGTGCACCCTGTCATACGATCAAAAACACGTGGTGTGCGTGCAGTTTATGTCAATTGGTGCGGCGCCTTGGTTGTTCTTGTCTCAACGCACCAGCTGTTGTTGCTAAGATGTTTTTGGCGTGGACAATACCACACAATGAATGGCTTGGTCGAGCGAAGGCCGATATCTGTCGCTCGCTTTATCAGCCGGTTTGCTATTATTGTTGACATACGTGCAACCACGAAAACACAGGACATCTACCAGGTGTGCCGGGGCTGGACTATTGCGGTTTTCCAGCACATCACGGAGAACGACTTTCTGATCCGTCTCCTGGGGGGCAGTGTCTCGGACTTCGTTGAGACCTCGTCTTCAACGTCGTCAGCATCTTCGTCGTTGTCGTCGTCATCATCAGCAACAGCGTCAGGACTATCGAGCGACGGCGGTGGTGATACTGGCTCCAGCGGCAGGAGAATAAGGAGGAAGTTAACGGAGGAGAAAGAACAAGATGCACTAGGTGGGATACTGGCGAGGGGGATATATGAGGGGTGTCAGCAGGTTGATAACGTCCCTCCTTCGTGGTTGTATCGCTGCGCTGCTGGGTGAGGGTTCGTGACTGAGTGCCTTGCACGTTACCTCACCGTCACGATCACGCGCTCAGGAGACGTGATCGTGTCCGATTGTTCCTGGTACAGCTTTGACGAGACCACGGGATCGAAATGTCCTACACGGATCAACCACGACCGTGCGGCTTGCTCTCGAAATACCCCCGCCAGAGAGAGAGAACAGCCAGAAAATAGCCTTTAGGTGCAGGGACCAAGTTGCCGACGGCAGACATGCGTCGTGAATCACTGCTTGGTTGCGAACGACACGGGGCCTACTTTTCGGATGGTGGCAGAGTAGAAGTCACTTGACCAGCAGCAACACCAACACCAAAACCACTAAAGGAGGCAAGTACTTACGCACCGGCCTGCAACCAAAACACCACCAACGAAAGTCTTGAAAACATCCATTTCGAATATTGCGTCAGTAAAACCAACACCCGTCCTTTGCACTCTCAACTCGTTCCCCAAAACGACAACAACACCGAACGGCTTCGTCGCTATTCCATCATTCGGAAACGAACGTTGGCGAAGATTACCCCCCTGAACGGCGCAGGAGGGGCCTGTGGAGTTTGTCGGACTACGACGAGGAAGAAAACCCAGGCGCTGACACCTTCACGCTAACGGCGGGGGCGGTAACCTTCGAGTCTGCTCTCCCGCCGACCGTGCGCGTTGTGGCAGAGGGCTACGAGTCCACTCGGTACGACAACACCGAGCTCGCGGCGGCCGTGGGCGCAGACAGCCTCGTTTCCTTCTTCGACAGCGTCGAGGTGCGTCTCTGATGGCAGCATCTGGCGCTCCATGCACAAAGATGGCGATGACTTTCGTGTTGAGGCTTGCCCGTGACAAGGCAGGCAGTCCGCCGGGTCCTTTTTGTAGGGCGTTCAAAGTAGTCTTTCTGAACCAAAGTTCACAAAAACTACAGGACAACAGCACATCGCCTACGCAGGGGGTAAATGGGTCGGTGAGATGCTCCCTAGGCGCTTTTATGAACTTTGACAGGAAATCCGTCACGGGTCACGATACATTTTCACAGCGGACAAGACCGTCCGACCTTCGAGCCTCACCAGCTTGTGGTGTTGTTGAAACAACACCCCGTGTTTGGTACCCGAGCTTCATCGCTCGAACGCTTCTACCAACTCGCTGTTCCAGGTTGCGGACGTGTTACGAGGCGCGGTGCTGTCACCGGTGTTGGCGGCCAATTCTTACTTCACCACGGCTGTCTCGAACGGGTCTCCGCTTTTCAAGCTCCCCGTTGACGCTGTGCAGCGGGGCAGAGACCACGCGCTCCCAACCTACAACGATGCCCGGCAGGTGAATAGAGCACCTGCAGATCGCACATCGGGACGATAGAAAAGTGCGCGAGGGGATGAGGTGCTGAGGCCGTCTACCATCGCTGCAGAGCTGTAGGGGACGCAAACGGGAGGAGAAATCAGCCATCTGGGCAATCAAAATGAATGTCTTCTGTAGACATAGCTTCGTACACTGGGTGTGTTTGATCTTTTCGGATGCGGTATGCAGAGATTTGGTGAAGAGACCCGTCTGTTTTAAGAGCGTTGATCGGTAAATTTGAACTAGAGTTGGCTGGCCACTTGCCGTCATGAAGTGTTCATCAAATACACCTATCAACAATTGTCAGTCTACCTCACCGGGGCCAGCCCCAGTTGGAGAATTTAGCCCCGTTCTACCACCAAGCCAGGCGTTTTCACGGTGCAGCGGGAGGGCATCTCCGGCCACCAGTGTCAAAAAGTGGGCCAAGTACGTTTTATCGGCAAGACCTGACTAGGCGGTGGCTCCAAACTGGAGACAGCTCTTGTGGCGTGGAACACCTTGAGGTCCCGTCCCGTTACATCCGTACCTTTGACAAGTTCCACGGCATCCCCCAAACACACAGGCGTTCGGCCTTGATGTGGCGACGACTTTTTCGGACGTTACTACATCGTCCTCGTCATCATCAACAACGTCGACGTCATCCGCTTCCGACTCTGACGAACTGGTAGCGACCATCCTCTCGGCGGCGTACGGGGGCGACATCTCCACCCTGGACGCAGTTACTGGGGCCTTGGCCGAGCCGATGCTGACCAGCTCGGGGGGATTTTTCGGGGAACTTTTGCACGCCGCGTGGATGGACCAAATGTACAGGTACACTCAGACCTCTGTCAGAACCCTCACTTTTCGAACTATTTAGCGGCCCATGTTCCAGCTGTCCGTTCGTGTTTCCCGCCATCTCCTCGGTTTACTGTGCCCCCTTAACTCCAGGATCCCATTTCGGAAGCCACCGCACGTGTCGAAGTGCAGGCCGCTGTGTTTGTCGTTATGCTACGGAAGTATAAGGGTTTTGGCTGCGTCCCCTGCAACCCCCCAGTTGGATGTACTGGAACACGTGATCCCGACGTGTTCTTCTATTTGTCGACTAGATGGACGACGGGTGTTTGCTAGAATCCCGATCAACCCAACGTCTCTGTATGATCGAGAACCGCCACCATCACACCATCCAGAAAGCTGCAAATCACCAGGCCAAGAAACGATGCTTCACTCAGAATCTTCGCGTGTACACACGTAACGCGCTGCCCGACGACACCTTGCACTCTCGCCATCCGTGCTGTTGTCGTTGGTAAATCGCAGAACATTTCGCGGTGACCGGTTCCACCACCTCCACTCGAGGAGCATCGAAGACGTCTCTTTGACCACCATCTCGGACTTGCTCAACCGCACGACCGGCGCCGCCGACCTCCCGCTTTCAGCCTTCGCCGCAGCCGGAGTGGAGGTGTGCGGCGCGGACTGCACGGCGGTTGGCGAGGAGGACGTCGAGCTGTCGGACAGCTACAAGATGGCGTGGGAGGTAAATAGATCCCCGGCAGCGTGTTGCATGTGTTGTGGACGTCTTGCCGTGTGCTTTGCACGACTCGTGGAATGTTTTTTTCGTCAAGCAAGTGGGGGAGTGAAACAGGTGTCTGCATACCTGTTGCGTTTGTGTTTTCGCCAGGTTGTTTGATGGCCTGTCATCCGTACGAATGCCTAGGCTTTTACTCGGCGTGTGTCTCGTGCGCCAGAAAGGTCCCTCGCGTTCCCGCAACACTTTGATTTTGCTCCAATGTTTCGTTCTGTTTCCTGGTATTCTCGGTATACAACGCGCCGCAGTCGTGATGGTGAAGAGGCGGATTACCGCCCCCCCGACGAAGCGCGTTTTTTCAACTTCTTTTGGACTGACACAGCTCGGGTGGTGTTGGGCCACTGATCTCCGTGGTGAATGGCCGTCCACGACTGCTCATTTTCTTCATCGCCGTGCTGTTTGTTTTCGCATTCTCCGTTGCGTGACACCCGCAGGTGCAAGAAGACGAGGAACTCATATCGTTCTCGCTCAGTGCCAGGGACATCGGTGACCGTGGGATGTTAGGCGTCGGTTTCGGGGGGCTGACCATGTCTGACGCGCAGGTAAGCCATGAGCCAGCATGAAGAGCGAGCATTTTTTGGCTCAATCTGTGTTTGGTTTGTAGGAGCGCAGGAGGGGGGGGGGGGGCTGTAAATGGGGTGACTCAAGGTCGGCATCGTTAGCCTCCACCAGCGCAAACGAGAACAAAGGCTTGAGACTACCGGAAAAAACTGCGAAGATGAGACCGGGGCTAACTCGACACAAGTCACACAAGTCCAGAGCAATGGGTTAGGGTTAGGGTAAGGGTAAGGGTTAGACTTTGTAGACTTCAGTACGATTAAACTTGACAGCGAAAAGCTCAGGTGGCATTCAAAGAGGGACCCACCAGGAGGCCGGCAAGGAAGGCGCCACGTCACGGCCAAACGTGTCAGGGGAAATGCACAATGTACTTGCCCCCTCACACTCTGATACACACCGCACTACCCTCTTTCTCCCTCCCTCTCTCTGTCACAACCGCCCTCATTGTTTCCTCGTTTACATGCCCACCATGATCTCGGTGAAACATAAAGGATTTCGTGATCTGCGAACTTACCTCGACGGACGAGGCGGAGTGCATCGACCGGCAACCGACGGGAGGGCGCTCCCTCCCGCCCCGCGACGATGAGGACGCTGTCCTCGAGGTCCAAAGTGTGGAAGTGGACGGAGAATGGACGACAGTGACCTTCTTGAAACCTACCGCCGCGCTAGACGACCAAGACTACGACCTCGCTCAGGTAGGTCAATCAGTGGAAACAAACAAATCGAAGAAGGAAGGTCCCGACCCGCGCCACTAGAAGCGGAGAGGGATGCGAATTTTGTCACAGGAGCGGAAATATTCACACAAGTTGGGCACCGATCGCAACCTCCCACGGGTTGTGTGGGGAGGTCTGGACGCCGCACGTTTTGTCTATTTGGCCAGCCCGGCGCATTGGCGGGAATAACGTCACCATTCGAGATGCGGAATTTCTTGCCCACTTGGGCGTGCAACCTCCCCACCCCAGGTTGTAGTCGGTGCACAACGTACAGGAGGGCACAGAAGCTTGTTGGAGACGAAGGAGCAGCTCTACCCTCGTACTGCCTCCGCAGTTTTTGTCGTTCTTGCTGTTGCTTATTACGCGTGTGGACGTGCCACATTGTATGAAGCATCCTGAAGATGAGTAATCGCTTGGTCTCGCCTCGGGGTGGCAGGATATCAAGGACGAGGAAGAAACCGAAGTCATCTACTCCTTCGGAGAGAGCCTTGGGCAGCATCCAACCTCCAGCCGAGGGGCCAGTACGATCAACTTTGCTACCGGGGACGTTGAAATCGAGTGTGACGAGAACAATTTCGTGTCTCTTCACGGAGCCCTGATGCTCATCGCCTGGATGATCCTAGCCCCGTGGGGCATCTACTACGTCAGGCAAGTGCTTCTACCTCGCATAAACCATCTTGCTGCTGCTGCTGTCGTTGCTGTTGTCGTCGGTGTCATTTTCGAGAATCGAGATGGCCAAGGTTCGCTCCGACCGGACTTACGATGCTTCGAAAATGACTCGTCAGTTCGTCTGGTCGCCACTTTCGTTGCTTGGGTGTCATGAAATTACCATTTTCCACCTGTTCGTATACGCTACCCTAGTCCGAATGCCCTAGCTTCGCTGCAGCCATCTCATTGCGTCCTCTTCGGTAGCCAGTGCCTTAGACTCGACCGGGCGGGGTCTCCCAAGAGGAATTTGCGGCGGACGCGCGTGAGTCCAATCCTTTGACGGTCCTTCTTCCTGCCAGCACCCCTTGCACGTAGTGTTTTTTTTTTTTTTTTACCTTTTCTCACTTAACCCACTTCAGATGGTACGCGTTTGACTCAAAGACGGCATGGCATTGCCATGCTCGCCGCTATCCGTCCTACATAGGTACCGCAAGGGTGAGGAGATCGACTTCATCTGGCGCTACGAGTGGTGGGAAATGCACGAGGAGATCATGATCGTTGCCTCGGAGGCAGTTTTGCCCCTCGGCATCACGTAAGTATGCGCACCTGCACCTTCCCACTGGAACGAGCACGTGGTCTTGCTATTTTGCAGAAGCGAGTGACGGCAGCATCACCGCGTTGAGAAATGCGTAGTCATCCAATTTCTCCGACGCTCGGCCCACGGCAAATCTCGAACGGTTCTGCGAAGCGAGCCGAAGTCAACTGAGCCGTGGCGTCTTGGACGCTGACGCACTACGCTTGCATCCCACCATGAGCTCCACGAAATTGATTGAATAGTCTAGCGCAATCATCGCCCCTTCGTATTCGGTGCGATATTCGGTTCCTGCCCGAACGGGAATCCACCCCCCCTTCTGCAAACACCAATCCTTCCTCCTTGCATGGGGGAGGGCAGCACGCAGCCTTTTCTAGCGAAGATCCGAATTTGATCAATAACAGTAAGAAGCCTTGACCGTGACCAACTCAACGGCGAGACATGTACGACGGTGTTCCCATCTTCCCTCTGTGTTCTGATGCACCGGTGCCCCTCATATTGCAGAGCGATTTTTGCTTCGGGGTCGCAGCGCGGCACTGAACACGCGCACTGGGGTTACTACATGATCATCGCCGTCATGGCCCAAGTGCTATCCGGCTGGCTTCGAGTGAAAGGGCTGGGAGGCAAGAACGCCAACTTTTCCGTATTTCACCGGGTGAGAGCTAGTGTTTCCGAGGCGTGGGGTGACGCTAAACCTACCATCAAATCTCCGTGTGCTTGCCCGCCGACAGGCAATCCCTTTCTTTGTACTGTTATCGCTGACCACGAGTTGGTTGAACAGGGGGGAAAGCAATCCCTGTGCCACTAGATGAATAACACAGACAAGGTTACTCCGGGTTGTCAGCGTGTCATTCTCCCCCCCCTTTTCGGCCAAGTATCCCCTACGTTTCCCCTTGCATCCGGAACAGATCCGATGTGACGGGTTGTCCTCACGACCTGTAGAAACAACAGTGGGACAAGCCCTTCCATACCCACTGAAATACCCTTGGAATATACGGCACCTCATACATTCGAGACCCACGAACCCTCCGATCGTCATGACCAATTCGACAACCACAGTTCAACAAGTTCTTCCACATCTACGCCGGGCGCTTCGCCTACTTGGCCGGTGTCGTTCAGTGCTACCGGGGGCTCGAGCTCGTGGCTAGCGACGACAAGCTTATATTTTCTGCTGGGGACGGCCTCGACCTACAGGTGATGCTTAGGACGGATCAAAACACGGGGTTCCCCCCCAATCCCTCCTTGCACTCGTCACGCCAATTCATGTTTGTATAGAGCTGCTATATGCTCTGATATTTGAACTACGGGAGCCATAAGGGATGAGCTACGTGCGCATCGCGCTCGTCTGTCTCGGCTGTTACTTACCGCATGACACGATCTACCGTAGTTTCTACCATGAAAAAGAAATAGACTCATCAGTGGCAGACGCTGATTTTTTCCTCTATCGTCAAGTCTTGCGCCTTGTATTTCTCACCCTCTCGGCATGGAGGATCATGCGATGCTCAATACCTGTGCCCTCCCCTTCCCACCTCCGTCCCCCCTGACGAACGCCAGATGAGCGAACCCTCGACTTGCCGTGTTCCACCCTATCACTCATGACCTACCCTATAGTAGCAACGTGGCAAGGATCACAGTAAATCATTCCAGTGAGCACCATTGGGCACGTTCGGCTCCATGCGTAACGTTCACTTCACCCTCATTACACAGCCAGGAGTGTTCGAAAAACCGCACGATTCGTCCTTGCAAGCCTGTTGCACCCTATCTCCTGACTATCCGAACTCGCTACCACAGCTGGGCAGCTTCGGGTTCGTGTACGAAAAGGTCTTCCCGGCGTGGTTAGGGCTGATCGCGCTGATCTTTCTGTACCTCGAGACAAGGAAGCAGTACCGCCGCTACTTCAAGAAGGGATCTGCCAAGATTTTAGGTTGGTTGTTGCAGAAACTCTCTTGCAGTGGTTAGCCCGTGCTTAGGGGTGGGGCCCTAGTTGGATACTTCGAAATCTTTGAGACCTGAAGTCGGAGGTAAGGCACGGTAGTAGGATAGTTTGAAGTGCGCATCATTCTCATCCTCCATTTTTGTGTGCGAATTATGTATGTATATTTGTATGCGTATTCATTATTGTAAACACGATCGCACTAAGTGGGTGACCATCGATCTATGTCAATCTCTGCTGGTGTGGGAGAGAGGGAGGAGGGAGTGGGGGCGAGGAGAAGGATACAGAGATGATAGAAAAGGAAAGGGGGGCGGGTGGGGGAGGCAAAGGAGGACTAAAATGAGGGGAAACCATGTAGGCAGCACGAGGGCCCCCAACACCTGGCTGTACTCGGGGGTGGCACGCCAATTGCACAGGAGTACGAAACTTTGAAATCTTAAAATATCACGACTGGGAACCATGCACTTCGTCGCACCCGCCACCTATTTGGTAACGATATCATTCATCATCGGCAGGGTGTGTGGAGATCATCAATGAACGGCACGACGGCAAGGGTGATGCCGATGAGAACGGAGTACCGCAATACCAGAGGCTTGTGCCCAGAACCGAGGACTTACCCATATACAGTCTCGCGGAGTTCAACGAAAAGGTGGGGAGCGGTGTTTGGGTAGATACTTCTTCGATCTTACGCAAGCAACGGCATTGCTCTGGACTCTGAAGGGGCGGAGAGGGGTTAGGGGCCTGCCTTCTTAAGTCCGTCGAAACATTCGGTGCGAACAATCGGTTCGATCGCCCTTGCTTCCTTCGCCTTGGCTCGCCAGGTGCTGAACGGTCAGAGCTGGTTGCTCGTGGACGGCGCTATCCTGGACGTGTCCGAGTTCACGGCCCGGCACCCGGGGGGCCGGCGCCTCATCCTCAACGCCCTGGGCACGGACGTGACCGCCGAGCTCCTCGGCGAAGAGATGTCTGTGGGGCACGCCATGTCCTTCTCTCCGAACGTTCACAGCGAGGTCAGCTAGAACGAATGAGTAGCGTACTCGACAAACGGGAAATGCATCCTGTGCGAACAATTAGCCGACAGTTGTCGTAGTTTTGTCGTCGTCAATGTTGGAGATGTTTATCGTCGAGCGCGCCGGCGGGCGCCCCACACCCAAGGGATGTACGGGGAGGGGTTCCAACAGTCACGACAGGGCACATCGAAACTAAGGAAGAAGCAGCACATTTGGTACAGTATGCCACATTGACCGGCGCTCCCACCCACATGCTACAACAGCGTGGCGTAACAGCAAGTCTGCGTTCGGTGTCATACTCTACCTGCCTTCTGGATGGCGATTTCCCTTGTGCAGAGAGCCTGGACTATCCTGAAAGGGCTGGTGATTGGCTACATCGACGAGGATGATGAACAAGAGGAAGACGACGGCAACGACAATGTCGATGGCGGCAAGCCGCTCTCCGCGGCACGGAAGGCTGCGGAGAAGAAGAAGTTCACTATCGCCGGACAGTCGGCCGTGTTCATAGGCACGAGGGGGTCCATCCGGTCCGTCCTCACCGGCGATGCCATGGTAATACCGGACAGGTTCCAAAAGGCCTTCATATGAAACCGTTGCCTATCACCCAATGAAGTAGTTCATGAACTGCCCCAAGGCGTGCCAAGTTATAGCTTTCGAAGCCTAAACTGTAGGGCAGACTGGCTATTGCTCCACTTCAACCGAAGTCCCCTAGCTAGTCGAGCTGAATGCTCCCATGTGCTACCTGTTCCGCCTTCCTTGCCTGCCTCTCGGACTTTGTTCGTGGTTGTTTGTCTGAACATGTATCTGCCCGTCTGGTCTGTCTGTCTGTCGGTCTGTCTGTCGGTCGGTCGGTCTGTTGCTCTGTCGCTCTGCTCGTCTGCTGGCCCGTTTTGTCTGCCCACTCAGTCCGCTAAGGCAAAACGGCTGAATGGGCTGGCGACCATTTCTACAGGGATGGTGGATGTTGCGGGCGCTCCCGGAAGGACATCACCCCAGGAGATGGGAGCGGTGTGTACACATGCCATCTACGTCCATGCCTTGCATTGCCCCTTGGCCAGCGCTCGAGGGGACGGACAGGGCGGGTCGTCCGTTGGCAAAGACTTGTGTCAGGACAGCAGCCGTATCGATAGATTTCTCAGTGTGAGGCTTTTTTTTCCGCCCCGAACAACGTTGTTAGCGGCTATTCTGTCACCGGAATCGCCCTCCCCGCGGACTGAACCTCATGAAAGAACCATTACCTCGGCACATACTCCGTTTATTTTCGGACACAGAGTGCAGGGCGTGACATACGAGATGGAACCGTTGCAAGAGATTAAAGGACGATCGGCTAAGAATCTGGTGTGGTAAGCTTCCACCGAACCCAAACGGCGAGGATTGCGGGGAAGGTGGGGGAATCGAGGTGCCGGTTCATGTCACGGCCAGAAGCGATGCCGAATGTAGTCTCCGGATGAGCACGCAAACACGTTGCGAAGGCTCCTGCTACCCGGTCCTACTACAAGTGCGCTCTTATACAACGTAACAAACCTCTTTCTCCTCCGTCTTGATATTGTTCCATCGATCAGCCTCTTCGTCGTGTCCTTCAGAAGAGGAGCACCTCTGACAGCGGGCGGTCCCTGGAGCGTTTCCACGTGTGCCCACTGCTTTTCCGGGAGAGGATGGGGGCCGTCAGCTCTTTCGGGCGAGGCTACCTGCCCACCTCCCGCCCAGTGTACCGGTACATATTCCTGTGCCCCGGCCAGGCTCAGATTCTGGTGCGTTATTGCTCACGTTGCTGATGTTGCTGCTGCTCAAGTTGTCGTTGTTTGTCACGTTGCTGATTTGCTGCTGGTGCTGCGGTTGTTATTGTTCCATATTGGTGTTGTCGCGTGGAATACACCACCCGGCGATCGATCTATGTGCTTGCTACCCCCCTTCCACAAGCAACCTCAGGCATTGGACTGCCGCCCGTCCGCCCTTGTGTCATTGCTCCAACTGTTTCTGTTTCTGCGTGTAATGGTGTTGCCGATCAACAATGCAACATCTCAGGCGCAGTCAATCACCGGGGTCTGCTATTTCAACATGCGGGCTCAGGAGAAAGGACATGTAAGCCCCGGTCGGAGGTCCAGTACACGCGACCAGACGCATCCGACTTTTTTGTTTGTTTGACAAGCAAGGGTAGATCAGTTTCGGCGAAGACAGGCCGAGACCAACCTGCTGTAGCGTGATGTCGGTGGAAAATTGAATAATTCTGCACTCTCGGCTCCTGCCCGGGAAGGTTTCCCTTTCCGCCTCCTCCGAGGTTTCGATGAATCGGACAGACAGGAACTCCACTGTCCATGGCGGCAGATGTCGTGTTTAGATACCGTTGAAAATCGTCCCAACGTTTGTACTTGTGGGATACCACGTGCTGAAAGAAAGATACCTCATCTTCAGGTAGTTTCAAATTTGTCGGGAAATTATCGTGAACTTTGATCCACGGACAGAGACAATCTTTTTTTATTTTTTTGTAAACACGACAAAATGACCGCCGGTTGCTCGCGCTCACCGTCTTTGGATCGATCATGGTCAATCCCCCGGTATAGAAACATGCTCGTCGTGCTCAGTTCGAGGTCATGAGGACTCCGTCCTCAATCGACACGATCAGTTTACCTTTCTGTTTGGACAGAAGAAGCAAGCGGCGAGAGACGATTTGATCGAAGCAGTTCGGAGAAAAATGTCTGCAACAGGTTTTTGTCCTAAAGTGTATTCCTGTGGGATGCAACACCAAACTCCCCGGGGTGTGTTCAGGATTAGGAAACGTTGGTGCACGCCCATCCCGCCTTGTCGGGAACAAAGGGAATAATCTCCCCGATAGCAGTGGACCGCCCATTCAGATGACAACGACTGCAGGGCAGTCACTCAGTGGTCGCGCCCCGGCCGAAAATGCGCCGTCCTGGCCAAGCATATGTACATAGGATAAGATTTGGTCACTTTTCATGCTTCGACGTTTCTTTCTCTCGCGGCAGCGAGTCTTTTATCGCTATTCCTTCTTAGGGGCACGCAGGAGGCTCGTCGATACGTTAACGCCCGTGCCCGGAGCTCGGTAGGCCTCCGTGGCGCGTGTGGTTGACGGCCAAAGTTGCGAAAACTGGCTCAAAACCCCGGGGGCGCGTTCTGCGCTGACAAAGCCTGGCGAACCAATTCTAAAACCTATCAAACCCATCAAATACGACTGTTTGAAATATTTGCCTCTTGCTTCTCCACGTTCATTCGTTCATTTTTCATTCATTCGATGATTCATGGCTGTGACTCTTCGTGCCATCGCATTGTCCAACAGCAGTACCTACGTTTACTACACTTCACAGCGGGCCAAGTGTAAACAATTCTGAGAGCATGCATCCAGCCGCAGTGTCGAACATGTCCCATTTGTGGTGCTGTTTCGGCTTCAATTTCGGTTATCATCGGAAATCTGCCATCATCAATCAAAGACATCATGGAAGTCTGAGTTTTCGCTGCCAAAATATTGTCCGCTCGAGCTGGCTCCAATGTAGAATAACAACGTGGGCGATGTTTTGTGCGGAAATATAAGCGTTGTAAGACACACAGTCCCTCTTCGGGCAATGCGCATGTAGTCTTGCGTCACCTGAGGGAGGGTAGACACCCACGTCCCGAAGGGAGACCTTGTAATATATTGGATTTCTGCACTTCCGGTAGACAGTACATGACAGTATCTATATTGCATTATCATATCGGATACATGCCCCACGATCATCGAGGTTTTCCACCACGCTCATTGCGCAAAGTCCGTCACGGGAACAACCAACCCTCGATATCACTTTGTTATTCACTATCGGAATGGAACGGTAGGGAGTGGTCCAGCGATCATACAACGCGTACGCCGTGAGGGTGCAGGACACCAACGGCTCCTTGACCCCGGGAGCGATAATGGGGGGGCTCTCACAAGGAAGCGACAAGGGACAGGGGACGCTCAAGGTTGTCCCCGCTGGCGAGACAAAGGCGGGGGTGTTGTGCATAGAGATGCGCATCAGGCTGTACACTGATGGCGCCATGAGCAAGCTGCTCGAGAATCTCGCGAAGGTGAATCTTTAGGCGGAGGTGGTTGGAGACGTGAGTATGCTGGATGATTGTGAATCCCTCGCTTCTTCGCGCGCGTCAACAAGCACTCCTAGCGTGACTCCGGCGGAGTCAGATTTTCGCGTCAGGCTTTCTCTCCGCCGTGCGGCCGAAATCCCTTCTGCCGCGGCACATCCTTTCCCTCGTCAACAGTGACATTGAACACTGAAGATACATGGTGATACAGGTGCCTTTCCAACACGAGGGCCGATCCGTTCCCGTAATTGGTGTCATGTTTGGTGTTTTCCAACGACAATGGCCTCTTAGACACTTCAGGAGATGTACGCTCGCAGGCGTGAGGAAGGTCGAGAGCGCTCACGCTCTCGGTTGGTGATGTGTTGGACGGGCGTATGCTGTTCAACGCTTGTGTTTTGTGGTGCGATGGCTGTAAGGTTGTAGCGCACAGCTGCACGTGGTAAATCCCCTGAAACGAAGCCATCGATGGTGGTGACTGCAGCAATGATGCCGAGGTGGCTGTAACTCGAGAACAAGTTGGCAGGTCAAAGACCCATGCACTAACGCCGTTGATAGCTGTCGGTTGCTCCACAACCACGACATGGCCCAGATCCTCTCGCATGGTGCGACGAACCTAACCGGTAGCCACGTATGGAGGAAGGCAAGAGTTGGTTCTTATAGTGTCAGAGTCGTACGCGGTATCACCACGTCGAAGGCGGAGGAGACCCACGGCAGCTTGACAGACGATCGAAAATACAGTGAAACGTGACTGAAGTAGGACCTTGGAAGGAAAGTGTATCTAGAGTTGAGGCGAGGGCGGTACACAGCAACGGTGTTGGAAATGGCGAGAGCAGGGGTCATACAATGTTCGTAGTTCACGGTTTCGTCTTTCTGTTCGCTACACGTTGTAAGCAGGACTCGGACAACCCCACGGTGCGGCTACAGGCCCCCTTCGTGATCCAGAAACTAGTCCCACCACCGGCACACCGCAACGTCATGATGATCGCCGCCGGGACCGGTATCAACCCAAGTAAGCACGCAGTAGTTTCCGGTTGTCGTTATTTTCGCTGTTGGTGGCAGCCGGTCATGATCACATCGTCGTGCAATAGAGAGAAGTATTTTGGTCTTCAAAGTAGTAAGAGCGACGATGGAAATCCAGACTACGCGCCTGTAGAAGTAAAGATTAGACACGATTGAAGTTGGGGTATTGTAATACGCGGCGGTTGTGCATGTGCGCAGTGCGTCACCGTATGGTAGACCTTGGCGTCTCTATAAAATTTGATCACTTCCGAGGAGGGGGAGATTTTCTGTTACTATGCGTCACTATCGAAGTATCGTCGTAGGGAGATTCAGGAGAATGATATCCGTCAATCTAGCTCGGGTCTGCCAACAACTCAACATAGTTATGTTGTTCGCTCACGTTCCTTCGTGTTCATCCGATGACTCCATGATGCTGTTCACGATGGCGACGATAACAATCATACGGTTCTGCTGCTTGCTGCTGGGGTTCCAAATTGGATGGTTTACTCGATGAAACTTCCTGGCTACACCCAACAACACACAACACCGATAATGGTGTTTCACGACGGGTTCATCCACCGCGGCTGGTTGAAAACAAACACTACACCCAACAACACATAACACCGATAATGGTGTTTCACGACGGGTTCATCCACCGCGGCTGGTTGAAAACAAACAATGACCAACACGAACGGACTGATTTGTCAAATCGCTTCTGCGAATTTTTGCTTCAAGTGGTGCAACAAATCCGAGACTACCTGGCCCTCCCAAAGTGAGTGCTATCAAATGTTCGGAGATTGGTCACTCACAAATTGTCTGAAGGCGCGCTTTCTTTGGTTCCAGTAGTGTTGAAGACGCTAGGTGTGCTCGTACCCGTTTTCGTGTAGCATCGTTCTTGTTCGGCCCTTTCGCTCCGTCCTTTCTGTCCTTGTGTTCGATGCTGTTGCTGCCGCACGGGATTCGTCTCCTCTGGTGCTGATTCAGCATTCCACGTCATATCGTACCGCACCATTCGATATCCCCGCTACTGCGCCTACAGAAGCGGGGCGCAGTCGTCGAAGTCCAGGCTGGCCCTTGTGTGGCAAGCAACGAGCGAGGCCGACCTCTTCGGCGCCGACGAGATTGCGGCCATGCAGGTGGTGCAGTACCTTGCGATCGGACCTATTGCAAAACCACCCACCGCAAGGTTTGCAACGCCAGAGTTTCCATGAAATCCCGTACTACCTGTACTCTGTACTTTCTTGAGCTGTCATGGTGGCACGCTCATGCTCGTTGGGTGTCCGTATGATGCCCCCGTACCAGGAGAAGAGCGACGGTTTGCTGGAGGTGGTGATGCTTATTAGTGGGCAGCACCGAAAGAGGAATATTCCTGGGGCGGCATTCCGGAAGGGGGCCGAGACATTTCTGAAGAAAGCTGGCCTCATCTCTCCTTCGGTGTCGGCTCCCAGTAACTCAATCAGGCATTGGACCCCTGGGAGGTGGGTGGTGGGTGTGCGGGTTGCCAACCCCCTCGTTTCCGCATCATTCACTAGATCCAGTCGGTGGTTGCATTGCGTTCCGTGCTTGATACTATTTATTCACCCTAAGTCCCGGCCGTGTGTGCTCGTGAAACCTCTCCTCCCTCGGGTTCTTCCGTTTCGGTACTGAGCACACACTTCGCCCTGCCTCTCGCCGGCAAACCAATCACAAACTACACAAGGCCCTCCAGAGAACTCTCCATGGGCACCATCAGCGAAGCGAAGCCGGGAGTCTTCGTCTCCGGTCGTTCCGTGGTGCGGGACAACACCAGTACAAGCGCAAGCACTAAGACCATTGCAACTCGTGCGTCCAGTATCGAGAGGGTGAGCCGGGAGAGAGAGCGAAGAAGAAAAAAGCGGGCTAGTCTGTTGTTTGCTCTGCTGTGTCGCATGAAAACACATGCGCCTTGTTTCTGATGCACCCTCGAGCGAGTTTACGTGCGTGCATCAAAAGTACAATCGTTATTTGTTGTCGTTTTGCGGAGGTTTCTTCCGTTTAGTACGGTTGCTCTGCGTATTTGTACTGTGGTATGGTTTGTGGCTTAGTCCGGTTTGTTCTACTCTGGCTCTGCTTGCTTGCCGACGATTGCATAGTAAGATCTTGTTCGTTGATGGATCGTCTGCCCATTGTATAATAGGTGCCTTCTTTGACTTTTCTTCCCTTGTTGGCTTTCCTCTGCACCTGTTCTTTTTTCTCCTCGAAGTATTGTACTTGTTTTATTCCCCTCTTTGTTGACGCCCTTTTCAGCATATTCTATTTTCGTTGTTGTGCTTTTTTTCGTTCCTGCCAGCGGATGTCCAGCACTGTTGTGGGAACGCTCACACGGGGCAAGGTCAGCCGCGAGGTGCTCGATGAGGTGTTCGGCCCGAACCTCCTCGGCATCATGGAGGCAGCACGCACGAAGGACGAGGATTCCCCCTCCATGGACCGGCGACGACCCAGGGTAACTGGAACCACAACCAACACAAGCGGCGCCGCAGAAGGAGGAGGAGACCTAGAAGAAAAGGAACGAGAAAAAGAAGACGACTATCGCGACGACCGTGACCTGGCAGACGAACTCGCCGGCAGTGACACTACCCCTGGAAGGCTCCAGGTCAGAGGAGTGGAGAAAAATCAACGGCAAACACACGCTCGTTCATGCCTGGAACCTTTTGCCGTGTGCCCAGATTGTATACATCGCCACACTATCCGTGCACTTGATGTTTTTGAGGTGTTTAGCCTCATCCCCGACCGCACTCACCCCTCAACACCGCCGAGCTCGCTTGCAACGGACACCGCCCTCACATGTTCGAGGTGACTGGTTCATCTTTCTGTCAAACACCTTCTGTTCGCGGCACCTTATATTACAGTTCGTGTGCTCTACACCCACTGCGGCGGGTGTCGGAGACGAGCGACTGTTCCGCTGCCCTTGATGTATGTCTGTATGTATCAGTTCATTGAGAACCCCAAGTGATCATCCGGAGTAGGCTAATGAGAACAAAGTGACCTCAAGGGGCGGTGCAAGATGATAACATAAGCTGGCACCCAAGACCAACCGCAGCCACAGTTGTGGCCAGCTGCGGTGTGACGTTTCGCCAGCGCAGCGGCTCACACAGCTGATGTGGTCTTGACTCGAACACCCCGCCCAGCGAACCTCTACCAACCAATATGTTTTCTCACAAAACTGAATATGGTCCTTCTTGTCGGAATCGTAGATTGGATGGTTGCTTCTTCTACTTGGAGACGTCGTGCGTTACAAAAGCTTCCTGTTGACGTGATCATTACGAGAAAAACGTTTCAAGAGGACCGGGAAGAGAGAACAGGGGTTCCCTCGCCGTCGAGATGTCTCGGAGCCAAAACGCTCGTGTCCACTGCTATCTTCTGAACGTTCGCTGCACGCATCCCATTGTGTGGTGATCGCGCACGGACGCTGACGGATGAACGATGCTCCAGGTGGTGGTTTCCGGGCCGACCGGCTTCGTGTCCTTGGTGGAGACCATCCTGGGCGAGATGGGCATCCCTTCGAGCGCAATCGTGTTGCTCGATTGAAAGCTGACTGCAATTGCTTTCCGCGGGATACGGTCGGCGCATTGTACGCGAGAGAGCTATCGACGATCGGGAGTTGCTTGATATTTCTTTTGTGGTATGTTTGCGAAACAGGCCCTTTGTCAAATCTCCGGGAGGGCGAAAGAGGCAGGTTCGAACTGAAATCCCGACGATTTGTGGACACAGCTACCTCAGCTTCACACAGACATATGCTGGCTTTCTCTTCGGTCGTCGTTCGTGAATATACCATCGTATACCGTTTTTCTCGAAGGCGCACAAGAATATTAGTTTTTTTTGCAATTTGTAGTGTGGTTTTTTAACTCGAGTTCAAGCACGCCCTTGGTGTTATGCAATGTGTTTTAAGAAGAGGGCAATTATTGATATTGGCTGTCACAAGATCGGCAGCAGGCTTCTTTCCCGGCGTCTGGTGTATGTATCTTTTCTTTTTTGGGAGAAAGTTTTCGGGGGGTGGGGACACGAAGTGACCATCCCCCCACCAAACCCCACACTAAATTATAGGTACAAGACACCGTGCCCCTTTTACATTTTGGAGGAAGTGCTCCACGTGCAGTACCTCGTATTTGTGCGAGGAAAACGACGCAACGCCCAGGTTGCATGTGTATATTTCTTGAAGCGCTCCCGGCGGACGAATGTGCATGACGGCTCAAGGCATGGCCTGCATCATGCGTGGGATTGTTTCCGCGTTTAAGCCGGGGAAACTGTTGAGAAGCACGATGACCACTAGACTACTAGTCAGCGCTGACTA